GCCATATTTAAAGATATAAAAGGAATTTTTTACGATTCTAAATGAGATGAAAAATAAATATCTCAAGCTTTCCATCCATATATAATAGGCCATTTAATTTATTCAAAGAAGAGAGAATGATGTATTTGAAGTTTGGCCAGAAGTTGTTATACATGTTTTGCTATTTGTCTTTTTATGATTAATTGATTTCTTATTTATTAAGGATTCTTTTTCTACATGGAAAGCATTGGTGCAAGTAATTTGGATTATTTTGAAAAGAGTTTTCATATTATCAACTTCTGTTTTCTTTTTTTGTTTTGTTGTAGATTTTCTCATTGACAAGTTTTCCTTATCTTTCACAAAAATTTGAGGTAGTTTTGGGCTTATTTTTTCTAATGCAGATATTTATGCCAAGAATCATAACTTTTAATATGATTATTGGACTGACTATAATTTTACCAGAATATTGTTGAGGCCTTGTTTGATATTGAGTTAAAATTTAAAGCTAATCAAACATATGGAAGCATTTGCGATAAAGTCTACAAGTTATTATATAAGAATTGCATTAGTTTTCTACTTGATTTAGAATTCTTTTTTCTATTTTATTTAGAAATTTTTTCTATTTTTGTAGTTTTTTAAGACATTTTATCTAGTATATATAGGGTTATTTAGCATGTATTAAGCGTTTAAAAAAATAATAAAAGATGAATTTATTATTTAGAAATAAAATTTGTGTACAAGAGTTTGTTTTTACTTTTGGTTCCTAATAGAACTACTTTGATTTATCAAATAATTAACCAAGTTTATGGTATCTTCTATATTTCTTATTTGCATCTTTTTATAGGCATTGTGTGGGGGTTCAATTAATTATAGTGTTGATGTCTCGGCACAGGTTTTTATTATGTCAAGCTCAATCATAAGCTTGGTATCATTATATCACTTTATCTTTTAGTTTCTATATTATTTCATTACTGTTGTAATTCCATATAAACTTGCGACATAATATAAAAGCTTTAAAAAAAAAAAAACAAAAGGTGACAAGAGGTAAATTATTTGTGATCTTGCTATTTACAATTTTAAAAAATAAAATAAAAAAGATTGAAATTATAATATCAGGTTAATATGTATTTCAAAAACGAGTCAATACCTAAGCATTGAGAAGAGGGAGAATGATATAAATTAACAAGTATCACCAAATAATCCATTAAAGGTACCAATTGTGCTTATTACAAGGTTTAAAACTACAAGAATCTGGGTGGAAATAACTTGGCTAATTTTGGATTATTGGGTTAACAAGTTGCAAATTTATCAAACTAGATTTTTATATACTGTTTAGGTCATACATAAAGGTACAAGAGGAATTTTGTTGTGATTCTAGTTGGACTAGAAAATAAACATCTTAAGATTCTCATTCATATATGGTTAGCCTAGTAACTCATCTAAATAAAAGAGAATAATGTGTTTGAAGTGAGGCCAGAAGTTATTGTACAAGTTTTGCTATTTGATTTTCTTATAATTTGTGAACTTTTTATTTAGCAAGGATTTTCATTGTAATTTGTCCATTCGATTGGATTGTAATTTTATCAAAATGTTTAATGACATTTTTTCACATTAGATTAGAATTTGAGGTCAATCAAACATTGAAAAAGACTTGTAATAAGGTTAAAAAGTTATTGTACAGGAACTGTATTAGTTTCCAACTTGATGTATGATTTTTTTTTGTCATATTCTATTTGGAGTTCTTTTGTTATTTTTTTGACCTTATTTAGGATCTTTTACCTAGTATAAAAAAGTTTATTTAGTTTGTATTTAGGGTTTTAAAAACAATTAATAAGAGATGAATTGATTATTCATAAATAAAATTAGTATTATATGAGAGTTTACTCTTACTTTTTCGTTTCTCATGGAATTACTTTAACTTATTAAAGAATTAACAAGTTCATGACATCTTTTATACTTCTTGTTTGCATTTTTTTAGAGGCGTTGGATAAGGGTTTGATTATTTAAAGTCTTGGTATCTCAGTATAAGTTATTATTGTATCAAGCTCAATCGCAAGCCTAGATTTCTTTTTTTTTGGAATGATCAATTTAACAATGAGTTTCTAAAAGTTTATGTTCATGTGATTCATATTAGTTGATATTAGAGTAAGGCTCTAAATTAGATTATATTCCTTTATATTTTTAATTTCCATGTTATTTTATCAATGTTATAATTCCACCTAAACTTACATCATGGTTTAAAAGTGAAAAAAATATAGATTATTTGTGATATGGTTATTCTCCACTTATAAAAAACATTCTCTAACTATAACCCAATCTTAATGTTAACTTGATGAAAATCTTTGAAATTTCTTGCCAATCGAAAGATTAGGGGAAAATGATGGAGCACAATGTTTTGTTTTATATATATATATATAAAAGGTAATGTCTCGCGCATGGAAGACTAATGCATACTAGTTGTTTGGGTGTGGTCCAAACCGCGCATGGAAGACATTAGCATACTAGTTGTTTGGGTGTGGTCCAAACAACTAGATTTCAGATATATTGAGGCCTTAAGATGTCTAATATTATCGTTGCACATATTTTTATATTTTTTATTTTCTCAAAAGTTGCACAGACAAACTTTTTCTATGCACACCAGCTTTTTCTACGTAAAGAAGATACTCTTTCCATACTAGTGAAACTTTCCATCACTCATATCTCTTTTAATGATCATAGCACAACAACCAATAACTTACCACTAACATCTCCACCAATAAAAAACATGGCATAACATATAATGACTTAATTTTTCATAAAACTATGTTCATTATCCATGAAGTAAGTTAAATGACTATATGCATAAATACCTCCAATCACCAAGTAAGATAAGAGAAGACATAAGATCTAGGTAAAGCTATATGAATTTTAGGTTCTAAGTTTTAGACTCGACACACAATCATTAAAGGTGTAGTCATGTAATTTTATACATGATCATTAACCTCCTAACTATACCTAAAACCATTATCGATCATCCAACAACTCTATAAACCATCAATAATCATTCAATAACTTTTAGAACCATAAACAACCATCTAAAAATTCAAGGAATTACCACCCACCATTTAAAAACTTATAGAACCACAAACAACCACTCAATAATTCCTAGAACATACAATTTCAATTACATTCCTCTAATATTTTTATTTATTTTATTTTACATTGTTTTTTTCTCTTATATTTACTAACTGAAGTATCAAAGTTTTCTTTGTATTTACATGGGATTGGTTTTTGAAGAACACCTAAACCAAGAAAAAGGTCTACATTCAAGCCTACCACTCCATCAACTAAGACATGGCTATGAAAAACCCAATTGTTTTTAAAGTTTTTTACATGATTGGAAAACTCAATTTCTATTTAAAGTTTTTTTTATCTACTTTATCAATTTACACATTGAAATAGTTTAAGTTTTGATGTAAACCTCATGGATATAAAGATCTAGAAATCCACAAATAAGATTGACATAATCCTAAAAAATAAAAAATTAAATTTGAAATAGAACATTGACATAAAAATAACCTTGTATTAGAAAATCTAAGGTATTGAAATTGACTTAAACACCCTGATTATAAAGAATCAGGAACTCGAGGTACAGGAAGGCAAAATCAGTTATATTTTGATAGTTCAATTATTATTCATTTAAACAAAGAGAAAAATATATTGGTTTAAGCAAAACATTAATTTTATTCAATAATCCATAACTGCTAAAATTTAACATTAACAAATAATTTATATTAACTCAACAAATAACCTTAATAACCCTGATGGACCATAAACCAAAAATCCAAAACAAAACCCAACTAAAATTTAAGCCAAACACACATAATAAATCATAAATAATGAATAATTAACTCAAAACTTATGGATTTATATAGATATATTTACAATTAAACTCAATAAATTAAATAAGCCCCAAAACTATTAAAATAATAAAAATAAACAAGTTTGATCCTTATACCAAGTTGTCATACTTATAAGAATAAAATAATTTAAAATAGTATAATTCCCTAGCTTAATAAGTTTTATATATGAAATTATGTCAAGAGGTTAAAATAATAATTGACTTTTAAGAATCTCTCTCTCTCTCTCTCTCTCTCTATCCTTATACCAAGTTGTCATACTTATAAGAATAAAATAATTTAAAATAGTATAATTCCCTAGCTCTCTCGCGCACTATTTCCTTTATAAGCTAGGATAATTTAATTGTAACTTCAAATATTCTCTAAATAATAAAAGTTGTTGCTCCTATTAGTTCATTAATAAACTTTTTAAAATAAATTGTTGAATATCCTTGTTAGATAAAAACAATATCTTTTTTAAATAAAAAACAAATCTAAAGATAACAAATACCAAAATTCCTATAACACCTCCTAACTCATATTACAATTTATTTCTAAACTTTAATTAATTTAAAATGTTAATTTAATATAAAACAATACCTTAGAAAACTTCTAGTAAATTTTTAACCTAATCCAACAATCCAATTAAAAATTATATTTGTTAGCATAAAATAAAATAATAAAAAATATTACATCAAAATCTAAATTTCAACTTTAACTTCAAATATTGATTAAAGGATTTCCAATAACTCCCTAAAAACACGAGATTAAAGAGAACAAACACACCTAGAAGCACACCAACAAAAAGACTTCAACACTCAATACAAAATCCAAAAATCAAGATGATAAAGTCAGAAATTCAACATAAGAAACAAAAACATCCGTTGCAATCTTGGCCAATGCCATGGGAACCACCTTGCCGCCGCCTATGAATTCTTATCCAGGGATTCTGTGTTCCAGAATAAACTACATTTCAATCCAATATTTGACAAGAGAGTGAAAGCTTGGATCTCGAGAGGGCCCTTCCATTTCCCAATGATAGAAAAATCCAACGTCATTCTCGTCTATCGTACTCAAAAAGTCATAATCCATCACATAATTAAACAGCAACTTCGCAACAAAAAGTCATAATCCATCACATAATTAAACAAAAGCACGTAATGACAGGAAAATTTATTGCATTATATTGAGTTACTTTCATTCATTGATCCTGAATCATCTGCAGTATTTTGATACTAACAATTAAAGGAATGGAAGGTGAAAGCCAAAGCCACATCAGACCTCTGCACCTTACAGGGAAGGTAATAAAAAAAACTCTGGATGACAAAGAGTCAAATAAAGAAAAACAGCCACGCATTAAAACAACATGGAGGCCCGAATTCCCTCCACTTCTGTTATCAACCTGCTCACAAAATCAGTCACCTGCAAGAAGGAAAAGAGCTTATTTATCCTACTGTTACTAGTGAATATATCTTAATTCCGATGCATGGAAACATCATGGATACAAGAATAAAAGAAACTCTGCAAGCATCATGGTAAGCAAGCACCTTCCATATTCAGTACAATGTGTAAGTAAAATTGTATATTAATCGTGAATTTCATTTCTATAACTAAACCAGCAAATTATTGATGAATTTCTCATTTGAGGCAGCTACTTCATCCTAAAATGATAAAGAAATAACAAGAAGAAAGTGACCCTAACAGATAACTAAAGAATAGACAGATTTATCAGGTGAAAATAATATCATGCGGAATCAAATTCCTTGGTGAGAAAAAAAAAAAAAAAGTGGCACCAGTAACACTATTAACTGTACTAGTTGACCTCTGATCAGAATTAAGAATCTTTGATTCTTGATTCTGTACATTGCTTTTACATAAAGTCCAAAATAACTAGAATCCCAAGTCCACTTCACATCAACAAGTTCAAATTCAATCTATCTTATTTTAAACGTTATGCTCAACACAACCCCACCCACCCACCCCATCTACCAGTATATCATACACTATCATTGAGGTTATTCTTTATTTAGTTCAATAATGTTGCAGAAACCCATGATCCCACTGAAAATTGCTACAGCAATTTCTCCTCGTAATGAATTTAAAATCCCAATTATCGACTACCCTCAAGCTAGTTCATGCTAAACCAATTGATAAATAAAAACAGAAAGTCCAAGAATACATATTCTCTGAAAACTCAAGTTATTGGATCAATCAAATATAACAAGCAGAGCACAACTTAATGCCTAACTAAATTTTTAGGCACCAAAGGAAAAGGAGAGGAGATCCTGGTTGTGAGCAAGAAATTAAACCATAAAAACACCTAACTCCATTATTTATAGTCTTATGGAACCTACGTTAACCACTGAATTGTAAATAATAATAATTAAATTTCTATGACTAATAAAATCTAGAAAAATTATACAAAAATAATAACTTCAAGCCAATTAAATATCAATCACCACTGTAAGTTTTTTTTTACATCACCTATCACTAACTTTGTTTTCACATCATAAATAAGCAAACAAAGTTGAACACATGAAATTGGGTTCTTGCAGGGTGTCCAATCAACTAAAGTTTCCAAGTGATGAGATTTGGATGCCACAGGTGATGACTCCTATCCTATGGCAATGTGATCTTTGTCAAACAATCAACTGATATGCTAGCGCTTATCCAATAAAACTCCGCCTCAAATTAGATATGGTTATGCAGAAGTCAATTGTCCTGGCTACAATCTCAGGAGATTGTCTACATCTTCTGTCCATGCATTACTTGAAGATTTGAGCTAGATTACTCCTAACCTAAACAAAATATAATTACAGAAGCAATCCGTCGAAAGAGACCATAGGTTAAAAACCAATACTATGAAGTATGAAAGGCAGTTCAACTAACATTTTAGTGGTTCTCCTTTTGCACCTCCCCATCCCAACAACCCCCAACTCCTTTAAAAAAAACGAAAATAAATAAAAGAGAACATATATTAAAGGCCATATGAAGGTTCTATGCACGGGATAAGGAGATGAATACACAAATCTTCCAACTATGATTCTAGCTCTTAACTCAAAAAATGTTAAACAGAATTGTAATTCTAGCACTACATACAGAATAGAAAATAATCAATCAAATTTATAAACTTATGTTGACCAAAGTACCCAGTATATTGATGATGTAAATACTTCATCCTGCTTCTATCCACAAGGTCCAAATATCTATTTTCTTGCCTTGACCAAAGAGGTCACAGCTCCTTGCATTTATTCTGATAAGCTTCCAGCCTAAAAACAATGTAAAAATAAACAGTTGGCTATTCAACCACTAAGCATAAAAACTCTAATTGAGTATCACCTTTCCTCTCTTTTGAATACCATTCCTTTCCCTCTTTTGCTTTAATAAGGCCACTATCAGCTTCCATTTTTTGTACCTTTTCAAAGCCAGTGGCAACTCCTAGTAGATTACCTATAAGAAACTTGAAGCAAAAATAACTCCAGTCCTTGTTAAATTGATTTGGTGACCCACTTTAAAATGTACAAAAGATTTAGCTGCCACAATGTCTTTGCAGTGTTTGAAACAGGTAGAAACTCTGCAACAACCACCAAAAATATTAGGCATATTGCCATGGTATAAAGTAGTTATTTGTCAATATCAGCTGCAACAACACTCCTTGGTTTGCACGAGATCCACACCTGTTTCTTGCCAAAATCCAAAAATTCAAACTTCATCTCTTGTCCTAAGAGAATTTTATGATGCAGATGACAATAGAAGCTAGATTATTGTATCTTGTTAATATTTCCATATACCAGGGTATGCCAGTGATTTCCATATTCTGGAAAATCTGGAAAGTTTTCTAGTCCTAGCTTTTATTTCCTATTTAGTATTTTATTAGTGCTAAAGTATTTAGCTTTAATTTTTTTTTTATGGACTAATAGTGTTTTCTTATATAGGAATGCAAGTCCTTCTTAGACTATTAGAAACTCTATATAGAGGTATGTAATGCATTACTTTCAAGAATCAGTTTATGAATAAAATTCAACAACTTTGCTTTTAATTGCTTGAATCTTCTCTTAGGTGTGATTCCTAAGAACCTTAGGTATTAAGCTTAGGCTTTCTATCCCCTAGGTATGACTCCAGACCAGTGTGGCTCTGGTAGTTTTTACAATTACCCCCAGCCCTTACCATCACTAGCTTCATACAAATCAATCGTAAAGCCATTAAACATCAAAACACAACCTACTACCCCTTAAAACACTGTTCACGTCAATGTTCACAGCACTAAACAGCCAAAAAGAGTCTCTGGAACTCAGATTAAGAACAGCACCCAATGCTGTCCAGCATCATTACCAGTGCAAACATTCAAGAAGTCACAAAATCAACAATTCAACCAAGCCACCATCATCTAAAACCAGTGGATATATTATCAAATCCTTATTCATCACAATGGGATTAACACATACATTTCAATTATCCTTTTTTAATAGATAATGCGTAGATCACTTCCCATTCAAACAAGATCACCTATCCTTTTTTAATATATTTTCTTACTCCCATCTTAAAAACATTCCACCCTTCCTTTTGAAGCACACCTATGTGATCTATGTCCACTGCATCCTTGTCAACAAAAATTAAACCTCTGCAAAACCAATCTACTTCACCATAAACATGACACTAATCTGTTAAGCAGTGTGAGCAATCAAATCTTATTCGATCAAAATTCATCAAGATCCAAACAACCAGATGAAGTTAGAAATCCTGCCACATGCAGTAAAATAAAAACCGCACACGGTAAAGCCAGCAAAATATAGATGTTTTATCACTAAGCTCATTACAGATAATGATCTAGTTAAAAATAAACAGTTAGTATGATAAAATATAGATGTTTTATCACTAAGCTCATTACAGATAATAATCTAGTTAAAAATAAACAGTAAGTATGATAAAATTCAGAAAAATATAGATGTTTTATCGCTAAGCTCATTATAAATAATAATCTAGTCAAAAATAAAAAACAAGCCTAAGTACGATATCATGTTAAATTATGGTAAAACTCAAGACAGTAGTTTAGCTTGTCAGATACCCTCAACAATACAATGAATTGCCTCTCCTCTGTGAAAACCTAGACAACCGTAACTGATTTTCCCTTCATTTCCAACAAGAGATAACTTTCAGCATATAAATGGCCTGTCCCCCCAAGACTTTAGAGAAGAAGCAATCCATTTTTCTTTCCTAATAAAACACCCTGCCTGTATCTCAGACTTATATTCCCACATTATGTGTCTCTTTGATTTCCCTTCAAAATTCTCCACCAGCCAAAGTTGGGTCTATTCATTGATAATCAATTCCTATTATCAGGATAGCCAAACTACTTCAGAACCAGCTTACCATGACATAATATCATCAAGGACGTGTGAATCACTATAACAGGGAAAAATATCAAAGAAAATTAGCATTGTATTACCTCATGCTTCATGCCACCTTATATTTCAAAAAGCCGGATAATCACCCCAAAACCTGATTCGATTGATCATTGACCTTTACTACATACCCACATATAAAACGATCCACTTAACAGAAAACACAATAATCTATCAGACCTTGAAGAAATTAATATGAAGATCAAATAAAAGCAGACAAAATAGGCCCACAATTTTCCAAAAATATTAGCCCTAATTATGACTTGAAAGTAGAAACCCCGCTGTACAAACTGAAACTAATAATCACTTTTCACAAAAAAACCTCAAAGATAATACACATTAAAGAGAAAAAAAAGAAGAAGAAGTAAATTAGACATGCAAGCATACCTTAATATAAAACCAGGCAGGTGAAATACTGAGAAGGATTCATTCAGACTCAGCTGTTGCCTCCACCTTAGGACCTAATTCACGAAACCCATCAATAAATTAAAACCAGAAAACAAAATCACTCATTTCCTCCCAAAAAAGATCATTCCAAACTAACAAAACACAAGAAGCAAATAATTCCTAGATAATACCATGGAGACAAGGAGGGCGTTGGTCCTTGCCCCACCCGATCCCACGAGTGGAGTCAAGATACTGTTGGACAAGATGGCGGCACTTCTGGAGATGATTAACTCCTTCAATGCGATAACACCATCGAAGTCTCTCTCTCAAGATCTTGGCTTTCTCTATATCAATCCATTTCTCTCTAACAATATGCTCTCTCATTTCCAGCATCACCACTGGGTCCTTGTATGGATTCGATGGATCAAAGTCATCTGGAGGCGACTCCTCGAACTCTGCTACTCCCTTCTTCCTCCCCATTTCTTTTCTCCGCTGTCACTGTTCTCTGTGCTCTGTTTTGCACTGGTGAAACGGAATGGCTTGCCTTAACTTACTTTTGAGTTTGGAGTTTGGGCCTTGCAGTTGGGCTTGGGTTGCATCCTAGGCCTTGTAAAATGTCCTTTACCAATCTATCCGTCTATGGCTTTGGTTATAAAAATAAACTTAATTTTGAATTTTGTATTTTGTATTTTTTTTCTTTCTTTACAATCAAGAGGTTTCGAAGTTAAACCATGAGGGGGTAGTCCTAGTTTAGCTGGTCTCATTCACAATTTAATTTTACATACATCCTTCACTTCATTTTTTTTTAAGGAGAAAATCTCTTTAAAAGATTTTTTAATTAATATTATTTTTATATATTTTTTCATTATATATTTTTCGGAATAATACATTGACTAGATATATCTATAAAGCCAAAACTTTCACATCAAAAAATTAATAAATAGAAAATATCTTTTTTCATGTAAATATATAAGGGTATTTTTATTGAATGAGCTAATAATTTTGCTTTTTAAAAAAAACTACTTTTATTATTTTTTATATTCATATTATCTTACATGATTGCTATATCTTTTAGGACACATACATTATTAAATTATTATAATGTTGACACTCATCTCATTTTATTTAAACCAAAAAAATAAGCTCTAATTATTATTATGTAAACTTGTGATACAATAGTGATTGAGAAGGACAAATCATGATATGATTAAAAAATTAAATAATAAAATTTGAATTCTAGTGTAATTATATCTATTATTTAATTTTATATTATTAAGTATAAGTTTCAATTCAATTATTGGATTAAGTTGATTTTACTAGAAGTTTTCAAATATATTGTTCTATATTGTGTTAACATTTTAGATCAATCGGAGTTCAAGCAAGTCTTACGATATAAATTAACAAATACAATATAGATTTTGTTATTTGTTATCTTTTAACTTGTGAACTTCATATTTGAATAGGATTCCTTTTCTCATAATGCAAGGATATTCAATAGCTTATTTTTTAGAGTTGTTTTTTCTATAAAGATCTTTAATGGACAATAATATAGCTTTCAAATGTGGCAAGAATTTCATAATATTTGTATATTATTTTTTACAAAGATTATTTATTTATCCTATATACATAACAAAAGGAGGATTGAAGTATTTAATAGCAAAATACTTTTAAGATTAATTATTTCTTTGTATTAATTTGTATTATTTTAAGGTTTTATTTTTTTATTTTTTTATTTGAATATTTACATTTATTTTAGGGATTGTGTATTTAGTTTGGCTCAAAATCAATGTTTTAGGATTGTTTTAGGCATTAGGTTTGTGTTAGTTGATTATTAGCTTAGGCATATTGGTTTGAATCCCAATAAAAGTCCATTAAGTTTATTTAGGACGACTATATATTATTTTATTTGCTGTAAAATTCAACAGTCATATGACATTTTGGATAAACTTGTGTTTTGTATGATGCAAGACTTTTCTTTTTGTTGGAATAAAGATAAACAACTAACATATCAAGGCATAACTGCTCTTACTATGTCTTCGCATACTTCAAGTTCATGTTTCGCTATCAACAATAAGTTAAAGTTCTTTTTCAATACCTTTAATTCTTAAATACAAGGTTATCTCTAAGTTTAAGTTTCCATCAAAACTTGAATGTTGGCTTTCTTAGATTATTTATCTACTTTGTTAAGGGTTGTGGGATTGCTATTCTAGGGGTTCACATAAATTGGTATCAAATTTAGGCTATGAAAAATCAAGTTATGTCTTTCTAAAATTTTTGTTCTTATATTTCATGTTTGAATTTCTCTTTAATTTCAATCATCTACTTATTTTGCTTATAGGATTTACTATTAAAAAAAATGATCTTATTGTTTTAACTACTTTCCCTATATATCAAGAACACTAAAAAAACAAAAAAAACTAGAAAGATGTTAAAAAGCTAAAGATTCAATTTTGTCCCAAAAACCCTAGTACAAAGGAGAATGAGTAAAACCATGTTGGGACCACTTCAAAATTTTATTTTGGGTTTTTCGGGTGCAATAACATCAAATATTAAATTTAGGGTTATTTGGACTTTGTTTGATTTAGTTTCAAATTAAAGCATTCGATTATGTAAATGAGTCTAATTTGCGTCAACTTATTAAATGTGCTTTACTAATATTGAAATTAACCTAATTAGTATACCAAAGTTGTATTTGGGTGTTAATAAAGTCATTTTTATTAGTTTCACATCTGATTTATTTCGTGTCTTAAAAAAATCTATATTTCATACAAATTTGTTTGGTAGTCATGAAATTATAATCGTAGTTTCATCTTTATTTGTTTTTATATATTTCTTACTTCTTCAGTCATTACACATATTTATATTGCACTATTAAGCTATTATATTTGGTTGTGTTGAATTTCAAAATGAGAAGCCTAAATGAATGAAACATTAGAGGAAGTGAGTGAAGAAATAATTTGTTTTATCACTAAAATATTTTATAGATTTGAAGATATTGGACAACACCAAGATAAAACCACTAATTAAAAATCAGGCTTTTCAAATCCTAACCTTGGTATAACAGATGGAAAAGATGAACAGGGTAATAGAGAATTTGAACAATAAGATGGAGAGAAGGAAGAGATGTGATGTTGAAATTGATAGTTTGTGAAATAGGGCTGATCGAAGTGGAAAGAATATTAGGAGATAGACATATTAATCCCATTATTGATGATATCTTTGATGAGATGGGTGATTAGAATTATAATAGTGCATCTTTAGGTTATGGAGATCAATTTGGGCAACGTAAACATCATCGGTATTGGGGAGCTAGGAGAGATGGGTAGTTTGGGCAAGGAGATGATCTAGGTAATTTTGGGTATTGTGATTGCATAGTTAGGATATTGGTAGCATATTAAGATGAAAATTCCTTCATTTCAAGGGAAAAGCAATCTTGAGACATATTTAGAGTGGGAGAAAAAGATGAAGCTCATATTTGATTGTCATAACTATATGGAAGGTAAAAAGGTTAAGCTTCTTGTAATTGAGTTCACGTACTATGCTATTATATGATGTGATCAACTTATATTGAGTCATTTAAGGAATCATGAAAGGCCTGTTGAGATTTGGGAGGAGATGAAGTCTATTACGAGGAGATCGTTTATCCCTAGTCATTATTATAATGAATTGTAGCAAAAGTTGCAGTGTTTCTGCCAAGGGATGAAGAATGTTGATAGGTACCGTAAAGCGATGAAGATCGTGATGGTTTAAGCTAACATAGTGAAGGATAGGAAGGCTATTATGGCAAAGTTCTTGAATAGGCTAAATCATGAGATCATGAATATTATAGAGTTACAGGATATGGTATCAAAAAATTTATGTACAATCAATTTAAACTATTTTCTTTCATAAGGATCATCCACAACTATAGTTCAACATATTACAATTTAATTTAGATTGATTCACATATTCTGTCAAATACTTAGTGTTCAATTAATTTAAATCATTCTTTGGAATACTCTTGCCCAACATTTCAAGAACTTATCAACCATGGTTCCACATGCCAACATTCAATCTATAATGATCATAATCAACACACACACACATTCACATAAATTCTTCATCATAACATACAATTTCTAACTAGCACACACAACAATAACCCAATTAACATTTTCATTTTCAATTAAGATTTTCATAATTAGTTGTCATCCCATAACAACAATAACAACATAAAATCAACATTAATTAGCATTTCCAGCATCGATTTCTAACTATATATTCAACGTAGCATATCCTTTCATTTCCACAATACCAATTCACATCCCAAATCCAAATCCAAAATCTTATGTTTTTTTTCTATTCTTTCAAAACCATGTTAGCAAGAATGATTAGTACTTAAAAGTGCATTTTTATCAAGATTTTATATCATTATTTTGCACTTGAAGTATCAATAACTCCTTAACTAAAACATGTTTTATAATAACATATCTAATAATATAAGATACCTTTAATTTATAGTAAATATTCATTTTAAATGCAGGCCTATTATATAAATGAAAGGATTGATTGATGAATTTAAGAACTGAAATTGAAAGGACAAAGAGATGGCCAAACTTAGAAAAGAGATGTTGGTGTAGTCCAAACCGGAACACTGTTCGATAATTGGGTCATATCTGGAGTTGTAGATCTCGGATTTAGGTCTACTTTATATGGATAAAAAGGTAAGACATAGGCCTACAACTTTCATATGAAGCCTAAGATTTAAAAAAGTCATTTTTAAGTCTAGATTATAGCAATAAGGAAGAATCTGTCCTACAGCCCATGCACCTGACGCTATCAATGACGTTTTGGGCAGACAAGAGAAGATAAGGATTGTCACTAAGTCAA